CACACACACACACACACACACACACACACACACACACACACACACACCAGAATGTTTGTTGATTTTAGATGGTAGGCTCATAATTTTAAAGTAGTAGTTGTTAGTTTTAGATATTATTGACTTGATCAGTATTATTGGAATTCAATAAATTCTGTTATACTTTAAAGAGCAGCTTTCTGTGATGAAGTAAATTAAGTAAAGGAAATAAGGGCTGGAACTCTACAGCACACAGCTGCTGGTAAACACAGCATTGTGAGCCTAAGCCCCACCCAGAGGGCTCCGAATGAACCCAATAAAAAGTTACTATCACTTCTTAAATTACCAGGAGATTTATGAGGAGCTCCCTGAAGGACTTTGTATCTTCTTCTGTCAGCCACTGATCACCTGCCTCCTCTGCATTTTTTCGCGTCAAGATCTTCACCTCAATTTTACCTACAAAGAAAAACAGGGGAAAGGGCAGGCGTGCCGATTACGCACATGTACTTCCAAGTGGCTCCAAACAAATAATCACGATGAAGCATGACAAACATAACTGTGAATGAAAAAGGATGCACATGGACACACATTTCATTTCCCTTTAGGATAAGCTTCAGCTAGCTGCAGTCAGAGATATGTTTTTGCTTCTGTGATCTTTACATTTTCAAAGTATTCTGTTTTAAAAAGTACTTAATTTAATGTGTCCCTGATCTAATGTCTAAACAGTTTCTCCATCTTAGGTTAAAGCATATGTTTAATTGCTGGCAGCATGAGAAATGAAGGACACCCTTTATAATATTAGCATGTTAAGTGTCCTTTGAACAGCTTAACCTGGGAAAAACCTAAATTTGACAGTAGTATGCTTCTTGACAAAAATGAGAGAAGTACAGAACTACTATATGCTCAAGATAACAGAGAGAAGAGAGAAAAAGGCCATGAGTGTTTCGGGCCCTCCCCCATCATACCTTCAGCCTTCAGTCCTGCTCTCTCTAGCTGTTCTTTAACCACGTCCTTTATGTGCTGCCACTGGGGGTCTCCTTCGCCCATCTCCTGAACTTTGACCTCCCCATCAGGGCTGCTGCCCGTCTTATACTTAGTAATTTTGATCTTAACATGGTCGTCGGCTGCTTGGTCTGGGGTGACGAGACAAAAGAGGGACAAACAACACAGTTCACCTCAAAAACCTATCAGCAGGGCCACAGGATGGAGGAGGTAAGAACCAAGATTGTGTATTCCAAAACACTATCTTATAAGAATTACATTTCTGCACTGTCATCAATTCATAACACTGTGATTGATTTAATTACCAAAAATCAGCCACAGATACATAAATGGCAGTAGATGAAAGACTACCAACTAACCAATGGAATTCAAAATATCAATCTGAAAACATAAATTCTCTGTGGAGAACTCCATGTGTGCGTCTAATCTTGGATGAAAGATGTCACAACGAAGATCTACACCACGTATGAATGAAACATGACAATGATGGAGGTGGACACAGAGTTAACAGATATGAACATGACCACAGAGGGACAGGGTGCCCAATTACCTGGCTGCTTCGGAGCCAGGCTGGGGCTGCCCCTGGTGGGGTCACTGGCTCTTTGGACTCCTGGTGTTTGCTGCTCTGGGTCCTGGACGTCTTTCTCCTCCAGATGATCAAGTAGCTTGTCCAGCGTCGTCTCCAGTGTCTGTGTTGCCTGAGTGCGATCAAACTCCCCTTTTAGACCTTCTGTCTCTAATTCCTGCTGAGCCTAAAACACAACGACAATCACATCAAAGCATCCTTAGATTGTTCCATTGTGTCTGTTAACATTTGAATACATCAATCTTCATGTTGAAATTACACATTGTCTCTAGTCTGAAACCTCGTTTATGATGTTGTCAAACTCCTTCTGCATTTCCTCCTTTATCTCTTCAATCTTCTCAGTGGTCACGGAGAGATCGACCATCTCATCCTCGAACTCGTGTAGTAGTCGTTCATCTTCATCTTTCTCTTCCTCGCCAAGCTTCTCTGTCACGCTGTCACTTGTCAGCGTCTCTCCTCGACTTTTGACCTGGTTTTGTGCTTTCTAAAAAAAAAAGAAAGAAATGCAGCATTGAATTGGAATACCCGTACACTGCAAATAAACTTTCATCGTAATCTTGGCGAGTACTGACCTTCCTGTTACTCTCTTTGAGATGTTGGACAAATTTCATCAGGTCTGCTGGGTCAGTGATGATTTTAAAGTTAAATTTTTCAACTGAAAGACATTAATGTGAAGAGAGAAATGAACAACAGACAAAATAAATGTTTAATTAACAAAGTTCTCCATTTGGAATCGTTCAGTATGAAAATCTGAGAACTTAACTGCACAGAAATAAATAAGAGACTCTGCGGTTCTATTAATATTGTTTGAGGCTTTGTAAAGCAGCAGGACATTGAATGATCATGAATAACATTGGTCTTCTGTGTGTGTGTGTGTGTGTGTGTGTGTGTGTGTGTGTGTGTGTGTGT